GCAGCACAGTTATAGTCTGTCCCAGTCAGAGGAACAGCATTTCCTACAACAAATGTGGAGACCCCCTCACACTTAAGGCACTAGCAGTGAGGTTGCATCTAGATTTGTCATGCTGACGTTTAAAAAATTATTCACATTTTTTTTCAGCAACACATGGGGGAAAAAAACCACTGTAGTCCTTGAAGAATTTCAGCCTCAAATGCCTGTCTCAGCTGCTGAGCTGAAAATGCATTCACAAATCCAGCTGTTGCTGTGCATGCTAGTTTTCCTAATTTTCTTTGTGCCTGTTCTTTCTTTTTATATGTTCTGTGCTTACACCATATCCTGTTTTCTTGAAGTCAGTAGATACAAGTATTTCTTCCACTGTTAAAACAAATACAAATAATCTCTCATATCTTTTCCAGTTTTGATGTTTTAGATCCATTTTCAGCTGCTGCTGAGAATTTGTCATCTGGAGAAGCTTTCCCCAGACAGAGGGTGTGGCTCTTCAGGCTTAAACTGTGCAGTCCTGTAGCTGATTACTTAAATGGAATGAGACATACTACATTAAGCCAAACTATTTGTCTTTATTGCTCTTCCTTCTATGTTTAGAATGAAGCACATTTGTAGAGCTGGAATAGAGACAGTTTACCCACCAAGCTCGTGCCTGGGGGCTGTTGATATATGATCACAGGACTCTTGTTCAGTACTACAGATTTCAGGGAATTTGAATTTCCAGGAATTTTTCAAGTGTTTATAAAACCTTCTTGGCTCCGGTCTCTCTCTCTCACTTTTTTTTTTTTTTTTTCAAGTATTTTTCTTCTGGAGATTGGAGGAAAAATATTTTCTGGATCAGCGTTCATCTATTTATTTCAATTTTTGCCCATTGTATCTTCAACATAAAGGGCAGTCAATAAATACATGATGAATTCTATTTATAAACAGTTGATCATTATTCATGGTTTTTCTGGAGGGGAATGTATCTTCTGTTTGTTAGATGTGGTGGAAGTAGGGATTGATGTAAATCACATTTCAAGGCTGTGTGCTGGTAAGGGGAAAGGGATTTCCATATGGATGACAATTTGTATATTCTAATCCAGTGGCTTGATCTGACTGAAGTATTTCTTTGAAAAGAGCTAACATCTTTAGTTTTAAATATTTGTCAGAAACATAAGCCTATTTTGGAAGGTAAATACGATGGGTGTATGTGACATTAAAGCAGTGCAGTAGTATACAGCAGTGGATTAAGAATCTGACTTTTCAAAGAAATTTGTTTTTCTCCCTTCCTTTTCAATGCCCCATGTTTGTGGAGGTTTTTTCTGCATTTAAACGATATTTTTTGGCTTTTAGCTGTAGATTTTGTAGTGCTTTGACCAGTAATTGTCTTACAAGCTGTTGTTAGTCCTGACACTCCTGTAACATAGTGCATATTTAGTCAGATATGCGTCTCTAAGAGAGGTCTTTGTGTTTGTCAAAAACTTCATCCAGTGTCTCAAGATTTCATTCCTTCAGTTGAGGTCTTTTTTGAGACCCATCCCATCAAGAAGCAGGGATGCCCTGAGTGGTTTGCACATGGTCTCAGAAAGCTGTGGAGAGAAGGCCAGTGAAAGGGTTCTGAGAAAAGGACTGACTACAAAACCAATCCAGTCTCACTCACACATTCTCCACTCTGCTGTGTGTAGAGATGTATTTTGAAGAAAAGCAATGCAGCAAGACAGCCTGAGCAGCCTTGAGTTGTCAGAGGAGCACCAGTGAGTCATTTCTTGTTTTAAAGAAGCGGCTGGCAGTGGAGTTACCACGTCACAGGCAATGTTTGTCTGGGAAAGGGTGTTGCATTTAGAAATAAATAGGTTTGAACACATTTTAAACATGTTAATTGAAACATGCAAAGTCAACAGAAAAGTGCTTTTAGCACTAAGAGTGACAAAACAAAGAGTGGGTAAGACTATGGCTGGATAGTGGAAAGAGAAGCAGCATTATTGTACACTAGTTTGATAAACTAAATCTTGGTCCCTAACTTTCTGGAATACCTGACATCTTATTCATATGCGCAGATTCCACTGCAAATGAAACTTAAAGAAAAAAAGTTTTCAAGATTTTTTGGTTTATAAATTTCTAAACTGATTGCATCCTGACTAAAGTAATGAAAATTCCTCTCCTATGACCTAAGTTCAGATATTCTTTGGAGTGGAATTATGTGATTTGCGAGTTAGCCCACAGTGGACTTGCAGCATTCAAAATCACATGCAAATAAGTTAATAATTTCAACTTAATAACTTTTTGAACACTGAGCAAAAAGCTTTTATCATTAATTGGTGTGTATACATTTATTTTAATTCTGTAGGAGATAGACTTCATTTTAACATCAGTTTACATCTGGAGAAATCTTCTCTTGACTTTATTGCAATAAAAGCCTAGAAAAATAACTATTAGTTGTGCTTTTAGAAAAATGCATTTCCATGAATTTAATTTTGAAAATGCTTTCCTCACCTCATAATGTGGGGTGATTTGGGATTGGTAAATTCTAGCAGGTCCTTATTCTTTGTTGCATACACTTGTTCAATACTTTTCTCATTTTTATGTATTTTAGATGTAGCCAGTCTGAATTATTTGTGGGGACAAGGAGGACTTTGAGTATTCTCTGCTGGAATATAGCGAGGATCTGAGTAAAACTTTCTCATAGCTGTGTTTGTCTGGCTTTCAGTTACAATTGTATTTAACACCATTTACAGTAAGGTGAATACTTTTTACAGTAATCTGTCTTGGTGTGTGACTGACGTGGGTCAGGCACACTGTGTGGGAGCAGGCAGAAGCTGGCCTCAGCCTGAACTCCAAGATAGAGGTGCTGTGTCTCCACCTTCAGCAGCTTATCTGGTCACTAGCACTCAGGATTACTTCCTGGGGAAGCTCTTAAGTGCATGAACATGTGAGGAAGGATATGTGGGAATTACACGTTTCTTAAAATTCATTATTCATTCCCATTCCTAGTAGCCATTTTCAGCAGATTTTCCAGAGCATTTCTAAGGGAGCTCCTGTCATCTTTTGTGCACAGATCTAAGCCTTACTCTGTAGAATTGCTCTGCAGACAACAAAGGGATGCTGCTGCTTGCAGTTATACCCCTGTGTATTTTCCAGACTCTGACATAAAACCTGTCATTCCTTCTTCCCTTACTCTCACTTCAGATGTTAGACTGGATGGGTTAAGGGGTGAGGTGAGGTGAGGCGAGGCTTTCAGTCAGAACAAAAAGATTAATTTTAGGCACTGCTAAACCACAGCATTTAACTCCAACCTGCTCAAAACAGCCTTGCAAGGGCATCAGGAGCAGTGGTGGGCAGGCAGAGCTTGTGGAAATGGCTCCATCTTTAGGGACTTGGAGTGTGAGTTTGCACCTCACAGAACATCTCTGCCCATGTCCTGCCAGTGCTGCTGTGTTCTGGGTGTGTGTGTTGTGTTCTGGAGCTTTCTCACAGCTTTTCCTGTTGGCTTGGTTGTTGGGTGCCGGAAATCTGTGGAAATGATGATGTGTCCTCTGGGTTATTAAGCAGAGAGGAATAAATCCCAAGTTAGCAAAACTTCTCTTACGTTTGTGCAGCCTTTTGAATCTAGTGCTTGGTGCCTCTTTGGCTAACTAAAAGCAGCAGTTTCAGGCAGAGCTGAAAATCTCTCTCATCAATGAGAGCAAACTGTCACTGCATCAGTAAGGCGCCAATGAAAGGATTTTGGTGCTGGCTGTGGCCCTTTGGCTGCACAGTGACACAGTGACACAAATGCTGGATGCTGTGAGCAGCGCTGTGCTGAGGATCTGGCTGCTCTCCTGGGGGGGCTGCCATGACAACCCTGCTGCTGGTGGGGAATGCCCTGGCCCGGTGTTGCTGCGGAGAACTCAGGCTCACTGGCATTCCGAGTGGCTCTGGAATATTGCAGGCACCAGAGACCCTTTCCTGTACTTCTGCTGATGTTCACTGTTGTCACAGTGCGTGAAATATGCAAATGGTCTTGACAGGTATCTGGGAAAGAAAAAAGCTGGTTTCTCTAAAAGCAGATTTTTTAATTACTTCTCTGATATCTTGGCTTTACCAAGTGATTTTAACTTCTACTACTAAATTTAATGTGGGCATGCAATGTTAAAAAAAAAGGGAAGCAACTATACATTAAAATTTTAACCCATTTACAGGGTTAAATCTTGCTTCCTGCAAACACTTGTTTCCCTTGCAAGGGAGTTAGAATGGGTGGAATTTCTTTTTCATTTTAACTGTTTTTAAAGCAGACATTTGTTCCTTGATAAGGTGATTCTTATTGACTTTTGAGGATGGAGATTTTTTCAAGGCATTTGGTTTAGTGTTTTTAGAGAATGTCTAAACTATCTTTTGTTTCTGATCTCCTGATCCTTCTTGACATACATTACTTGGATAATATCATTATCCAAGTAGAACCATTACTCATATAATTAAGAACAGACAACTGCAAAGAGCATGGAAGGGACTCTATTTCTTTATTTTCTTGAATATGAAATACCTTTTAATAAAAGGGAGAATTACTTCATGATTTTTTTAGCAGGATGTTAAAGCATGGAAATTAAATGCCTCAGAACATAAGAAAACCAATTTGCAGATGCAATCACTTTAATTCAACAGATCTTCCCACAAGCAATTAATGTATTCTTAATACATGAAGCTTTGATATTTGATAGTGTTTTCAGACGTTCCTGTCAAAGCAATGTGTGTGTAGCTATAGGAAAAAGGCATCAGCGTGCCTATGTAACTGTAAGCAAAAATACATGTGCTAAATGTAAGAGTTTTTGGAGGTAGGAGCCAGTCAATTTTACATTCTTGGCCCTGATGTTTCCCGCACTGCTTAAAGAAGAGAGAGATCTGACTTACTGTGGAGCTGGAGTGCTTGTGTCATTAGAAATGAACATTATGGTATCACTGTGAGAAGGTAAAGACAAACTTATTAACTGTTGCTGTCTAACTGAAGATTTAGTTTTGAAAGCTCTGCATGTGTTTATTTTGCTGTGCAGGTAACGTGCTTGCAGGACTTCTTTGGAGACGACGATGTCTTCATCGCGTGTGGGCCAGAGAAGTACCGGTATGCTCAGGATGACTTCGTGTTGGATCACAGTGGTAAGACTGCACATCCTGACCCCACTGAAACAGGAACTTCTCCATCCCATTCCCCTGTTCAACCCTCAAGAAAAGCGTGATTCAGGAAAACATACATGGGAGGATGTTTTCCAATGGATAAAAAAGCTTTTTCAAAGCATCGTCTGGATTCTGTAAGCCTGTTAAAATGCACCAACAAACATGATCCAAATTCCTGCAGAATAGACACTGTCCCTAAAGTTACGTGGAAAGCAGCATTGAATTATAAAATGTTCTGTCATGGATCTAATGAATCTAAAATCTGTTAATGATGTTCACTTGTGTCATCTATGACTGTAAGATAATTTCCATACTGCTTTCTTCATGAGATGTTTGAAAAATCTCATATGTAGCCATGGTCATTTCCAGTCTTGAATTACCCTGCCAGACAATTCCCATAGTGGAGTGAATTCACACTTGTCTACTACAGACCCAGTGTTGGCCTTGTATATATTTTGATGTTATAGGGGACGTTGAGTAGGGGAGGAGGTGAGGCAAACTGGGACTTTGTGCCCTCCTTTCTGCCTTGGGCAGATCACAAATTGAACTTCTTTATGAAAGTTGTTTTTCCATAAAGAAAAACTTTGTAATGTAAGTTCAAGGAAAAGGCAGTCCTCTACCTTTGGAAGTTTTGGATTTGTCTTTAAATATCAAATCATAAAAATGTTGGGGCTTTTTTCTCCATGTTCATGGAACTGTAGAATGGGTTGAGCTGGAAAGGACCTTTTTAAAGGGCCTATCTAGTCCAACCCCTGGCAAGACCAGGGACACCTTCAAAAACAAAGTTCAGGTTGCTGAGAGCTCCACTGAATGTTTCCTGGGGTGAGACATTTCTCACCTCTCTAGGGACCCTATTTTAGTGTTTCACCTCTTGCTCAATAAAAAATGGCTTCCTTATATTTAGCCTGAATCTACAGGTTTTTTTACTTTAAAACCACTCCTCTTGTTCTATCACTACAGGTCCTACTAGACGTGTTTTTTTCTGTCTTTATTGTTCGAGCTGTAGGAACACCCTAATCTTCTTTCATGAAAAAAATTAATTTCTTGTAAAGAAAACTTGCCCTGGCAAGAATAATCAGACTATTCCAGAGGAGCTTCAGGTTGTGAATAAAGGATTTTAAATTTTTTTTTTTATAAAAACAACAGCACCTTCTGTTCCTGTAATTATTACACACATCATTATTTCATTACTGAAATGCTTAGTTGCAGCAGGAAGTACAGATGTATATCTACCCACTGGCCTGTACATTTGGATGGATGGAGGATTCAACTGCCTCCTATTCTGCTGTTCTTGCTAGGGTGCTGCTTTCCAGAGCTGCTTGATTATGTTGAGTCAGTTAGTGTGGGGGTGACCAAAAGGGTGGTTTTTTAACATAGTTAACAGCTAAAAAATTACTTTATTCTTATGAAGGAATGGAAGAGCATGGTTGTATTGACTCACAATGCAAATCCCAGGCTGGGCCTAATCCTAATTTCCCTAGCAGATTTTAAGGCTGTAAATGTGCTTTTCCCATTACCCAAGGCACAGACTAGTTGAGCTCATTTCCTTGCCTTTTTCTCTTTCTTTCCTTTATCTCTTCAGCTTTGGTGGTCCCTGCTTCCTCTAATAGCTCTAGGGGTCTTTATGGATAAAAGCAGGTTATATAAATGACTTGCAGGGCATGCAGCTCAACTTAATTTTTTTGTGGTGACATGGCATCTTAATGATGACATTGGCATCAGGGACAAAATAAGGAGAGAAATTTATGATTCCATTTGGAGTGGTTTGCTAACGATGCTAACTGTGGGAATTAAAACGTTACCAAAATGGCAATGCATGTGTGCTCACTGATTCCTTTCCCACTGAGGTTGTTATTTAATGTTATGTAGCTGATGGTAAATGACAGTAGTCTGCTGTTTCTGAAAACAATAGGCATTTTTCACCTGTTCAAAAATTGGTCACAGCATCAGTTTCTTGAAAAAGAAGGGAAATAATGCTGGCTGTGCAGTTGCCCAGTATGGAAGTGCCATTATACAAAGAGCCTTGGCATCAGCATATGTACAAACTTGGATTGTAATAATAATCCAGCCTCAAGACGTGAAGAAATATTGTCTGCAGAATGTCACATACAGTATTGCATAGCTCAAACGGGTTTTTATGGTGACGAGGTTAGAGTTGTGAGATGCTCTTACAAATCTGTTTGACTCAGCTGGGCAAAGATATTTAGGAAGTGCTGGTCATTTTCAGGATGACAAACAGCCACGGTGGTGTGTGGAGGGAGCCTGTGCATTGAACTGTTGTCAAAACCCCTGACAGAGTTTGCTTGCTTTGTAGAATGTCGTGTCATGAAGTCTTACTCGCGCTCCTCTGCCATGAGGCACGCTGCATCCAAAAGTCCAGGACCTTCGCGTCGGAGCAAATCCCCTGCCTCAGGTACTACTGCTAGGAAAGAGCTGAACACATCAAATACACAAAAATTCATTTTTTTCTAATGGGGTGAAAAAACCTGTTGGCTCTGTGATACAAATGTTTCCAGAGGGGCAAAACCCCTTTTTTCATTTGCAATGGTTTTTTTGTTTTTGTTTTTTTTTTAATCCTAGGAAGAAACATCGTTTCTACTTTTTAATTACAGGCACATGTGGTTTCAGTTTATGAACACTGGAGTAATTTGTGCTAATTGTGCTCTTGGGGTATGTTTTCAGCATGGCACTTGATTTTCCAGAAAACTATTAACTGCAGGGTGGTTATATGTGTTATATATGTGATTAAATTCATGTTCATTGCACCAGAGTATACTCTTAAATTTTAAATTAGAAAGGTTTCTCCTATATAAGCCAAATGCTATCAGAAATACAGCCCTTTGCTGGTTCAAGTAATTTTAGGAGATGTACTGTTACTGTGATTGCCCATTAACAGAGAATTTTTCTTCCTGTGCCTCTCATAATTTCAAAGAGAGGTGTTCACACTGTGATTTTGCCACCAGTTTGGCTGAACACCATATTTTTGAACACCATATTTATGAACATAATAAAGGGAGAAACTTGTTTTTTAAAAAAATTTTAACCACTGCATTTAAATTCTAAATGCTTACTTTTCCCCTGAAATCAAACTATTGAATATGTAAATACATGATGCTCTTTTTTGAACGTAACTATAAATGTAAGCTTCTGTGTGTATTCAAAACTGTAACATGTTCCATATTCTCATCCCCATATTTGTTTTGCTTATTTGGTGCTTGTTAAAGTCATTTTATCGTTGGGTTTTTTCAAGTGGAATATTAATAATCTGTTTATAAAGGTTGAATGTTTAACTGGAAAGCTTCAAAGGAGGATTGCAGAAAAATGTATCATGAAGGGCAGGTTTTGCAACTGATCTACATTTCATGCAATTCTTTTACCTCCAGTGATAGGATGTAGGATATCTATCAGCAGTTAATTTTATGCAAAGTTTTTAGATATCAGTGCTGTCATTCCCATACTTATTTCTGCTTAGACCCTCTTTGGTTTGGTTAATTTGAAAAATGTATGTAAAGTATGTGGTATTTATCCTTCTATTTACTTGCCTTTTTAAAATATTTTTTATTTTCCTTTCTTCCTTCCATGCATGTTCAGAGCTGTTTAATAACTTCTTTCCTTAATGTCTTTTTCCTTTGTGTCAAATATATGAGTACAGTAAAGAGGGGTGGCCACTCCAGTGCTCATTCTTCAGCAAAATCCCCAGGTGAGCCATTAGAATTATGGCTGTATATCCCTAGTGTGTCTCCTCCCTCTCCATTTACCTGTATTTTTGGTGCTGTATTTGTGAATGTGTTCAAGTTTGAAACACATTTTGCATTGGATGAAACAGAGACATAATGGGTGTTGGATCTTTTTTTTTGTTTATTGTTGAGGTGGATCATGTCAGTGAAATAATGCTTTTCAGTTGTTGGACATCCACTAATGGTTAAATTTTTAAAGGTATAATTAGACTACAAGTAGAGAGCATTCTAAGGAGCAAGGCATTTTTATGTTTATGCTAAAGCATATTAAAATGGAACATTTCAGCCAGCAAAAAGACAGGTGTGAGAATTACTGAAAAAAGCACTGCAAAACCATCTCATGTGTTTCAATCTTATGTGCAATTTCTTATTTTTCTTGTATTACTTCAGCCTAAATTCTACAATAACTGAGGAATCGTACTTTCAGTTCAAAGTCAAAGCATTTGTGAAACAAGTAACATACCAATTGATTAGCAAATAAATTGAGTCTTTGGCTCATACTAGAAGTAAACAATTAAGAGGTTATTAATAGATTTTTAAGTTTTAAACATTCCAGTGTGCCAGACATGTAGCCTAACATGCACTACTTCAGAATTACAGAAAAGTTTTGGGTTTTTTTTCTGTGTATTCACTGGTGTGCATGTGGAAAGAAACCTCAAAATAATTTATGCTTAGAAAATAGATTAAAAAGGTAAGTTTGGCATACATAGGGAATAACCAGCAAATCCATAGCAGCAGATTTGTGCCAATACAGATTGCTGTTTATTGAGTGAGGGAAGAGAAAAAAATGCTGCTGTCTGAAATAGCAGTGTCATGGTTCAACCTTGGCCAGCAACTAAGCACCACACAGGCACTTCCTGACTTCTGTGCTGCCGCAGAATAAAGGAACTGAATTGGAAGGGTGAAATTTAGAAAACTCATGGGTTGAGATATGAGTTGTTTAGTAACTGAAGTAACAATAGTAATAGCAACAATGATACTGCAATGAAAAACAAAGAGAGAGAAATAAAACCCAAGAACAACAAGTGATGTGAATGAGCAGCTGACTGATGCCATCTTGTCCTGGAGCAGTGTCTGCCAGCATTCCCTCTCATTTTACTGCTGAGCATGGTGCTGTATGGTCTGCAATATTCCTTGGATAACTGGGGCCAGCTCTTCTACCTGTGTCCCCTCTCAGCTCGTGAAGAGCAGAAAAGGCCTCGATGCTGCTTATGCTCAGCAATCACAGGAACATCCCTGCATTAGCAGCACTTCCCAGCACAAATCCAAAATGTAGCCCTGTGCTAGCTGCTGTGAAGAAAATTAATTGCACCCCAGCCAGAGCCAGCACAAGCAGCTGGCTAACTCCCTGTAGATGCAAAATCTTTACACCTGGGCAGGGCCAGTTCCAGCTTTCCCTGTTGTTGCAGTTGCTCAGCAGCTGACGTGCAGTGGCTCTCCGAAGGCACCGGCAAAGAGGAATCTGCAGACAGCTCTTTCCAGCAGGATCCTCAGCAGAACGAACCGTGTGTTCTATATAGGCACAAAAGTTGGAAGGCACCTCTGGGTGTCATCTAGTCATGCCCCTGGCTCAGAACACTGCCCTTCTTCACCAGGAATAGCTGAGATATTAGCAAAGAGCTGCGGCACTGTCAGTGCAATCTGGGCTCTTCTTCCTTGGACAGTTTTGGGAGGGAAGCACGTTATGTTAACCACCCAGTTTCACTGGAACAACTTAGTGGTTCTGCCAATGCTTAAAGAGGATGGTGGTGACTTAGACAAGGATGGCTTACAGTGGTCATGTCCAGGAAGTAGTGACATTTCTGTGAGCTGTATAAAAGAATCTTAGAACAAACAAAAAAAATCTTCCTCCTGTAGTACTAGTTTGTCATTTGGAAGCAAACTCTGAGATATTTCTACTGAAGTATCTCATTTTTGGTCATGCAAGAAGCAGAAAACAGTAAGATAGCAGTCCCTAGCCCTTGCCATTGTCATACTTGCAAATTCTTTCTAGAGCAAGGATGCATTGGTTATCCAGAACAAATTGTTGGAGTCTACAACTTCAACAGGGTAGTGTACTCTTAGATGTTTTCAGCTTCTCAAAAAAAACCCCCAAAAAAACAACAAAAAAACCCCAAACAAACAAACAAAAAAAAATCACCTGTTTTTCTTACAGGTATTTTCAGTTAAAATCAAGATGAAAATATCCTAAATACACTGAATACTTTTAAAAGAAGATACTAAGGTCTTGATCCTGTAACACAACTGGGAATATAAATCCAAGTTATCAGACTTCAAGATAGACTTATAGAATAACTAAACACCAATTAGTTATATCTTAACATCAAACACCAGAGGAGATTTTTGTGAAAACCAGGGATTTGTGGAAGTTGCAGTGCAGTCAGCCTGGCCTAGTGGCAGATGGGCTGCCCAGGCTGTAAAAATAGTCCTTGAAAGCCATCTCCCATACTCAGATAATGTTAGTGTGCTGGGTCAGTGGACACTTGTAAAATAAATCCAGTAATTTAAGAAATTATGCATAACCCGTGACAGACCTGAATATGTGAAGGAATTGTGAGGTTATTTGATTGAAGCTCAGTTTCTGTTTACCATGTTGTCTTTTCTTTCTGGAGGTATAATTCATCACTGTGCTATGAAGCATTATTAGCTCTTAAATTTCTGCCTAGTATTTTTCTCTCCCATGAAAAATGAGGATCAGCTGAAAAGAAATGATGTCTCATCATATAACATTGCATCCTATTTGTGTCTGATGGGCAGTGTACTATTGTCCCTGCATAATGAAATTTGTCAGTTTGACCTTTTCGGAAAAATACAAGGACTGACCTAAGTTATATTCAATACACCAGAGAGATAACAAATGTTGTATGAGGCCTGTCTAAAAATCTGGACTGAAAATGAATGAACTCTTTAAGACAAGAGGGTATTGTATTTTCAAAGACACTTGTACTTGTTGGAAGCTCAAAAACAACTTACTAGCTTTTCTCTTGTTGAGGTTTTTTCCCCCTAAATCAACATTTTCTGAACTACTGCTGAAGTTTTCTGTTATGCAAACAGTTAATTCTTCTTATTAGAACTCCTGTTCTGTGAAATATTCTACCTAGAAAGTGAGGCCTTGATCCAAACTGAAGAGGAGGAGGGTCAAATATCCTCAGAAACATTTTCTTTCTATAAATGTTATTGTGTGATACCACAATTTATTATGCAATTTTTAAAGGCTGTGGCTGTTTTTTTTTTTCTTTGTTTCTGTGCCCAAACCCCTTGCCCTGGCAAAGGACAGAATGGGCCTTTTTAATCTCTGGAATGACAATGCAATGTTTCCTGTCTCCTTGATCCCATATCCAGCCACATGAACTTTCAGGGTGCAGTTTTGTGACATGCAAATATATATGATATTCCTAAATACTGAGGACTCTGTTTTGGTCTATGTTTGCCGACTTCAGTAATAACTTTTGATTTTTATTCATCTTTTCTTTCATTTTTTTTATTTTCATTGCTTTGGCCAGTTAATGGAACCCCAAGCAGTCAGTTATCCACCCCAAAATCTACAAAGTCCTCCAGTTCTTCACCAACAAGCCCAGGCAGCTTTCGTGGACTCAAGGTAAGTGCAAGAACCATTAAGCTCCCTAAATTTCTTTACTGTGTGACTGTGTGACGCTGGTACTGAAGGAAAAATAAAAAGCTATAATTTTGGAGAGTAGCCTTGCAAGTATGATTTTTGCTAATGTGGAGAATAGATCTGAAGTAAGATTTTTGTGTTTTGTCTGGGTTAAACACTCAGCTTAGGAAAGGCAGTGTGTGATGCTGGCTTGAATATGCCACTTTTTCCTCTAAATTTTCCATTTTTTTGTGGACTGCAGAAATCCTCCAAGCAATTTGTATCCCTTCAGCTACAGAAATGTAGTATTGTCTTATAGCCTGTAGCATTGCCCAAGTTTCATCTAAAGCAGACTTATTACTCCCTGGCACCAATTTCACCCCTCAATCCAGTCTCCTGCCAGAAAGGGTTTGAGTTCTTCCTTTGGGAGCAGCCTGATGTCTGACAGATTTTTCTGTGTTGCACCAAGTGATTTCTCTTCCTCTCCCACTTCAGAACTGGCTGCATTTGCAGATCTTGGAGGCTGCTCTGTGCCTTTGGCTCAGTGAAATAAAAGGAACATTCTGGATTACAGGGGAGCATCTCATTGCTGCATTTGTGCAGCTGTCCTTTCAAGGGGAATTTTCTTATGGAATCATAAATTGCAGCCTTTCTGGAAGCAGACTGGATGGTTTGCACTGATTATTCTGATCAAGTAATAGCTCCTATTGGTGAGCACAGCACTTGTGAAGAGGCTGCATAATTCTGTGGAAAACTGTTTTCTCTGTTAAGAGACTGGCTAGAGGACGTGATTTGCATAGTGCTCAGATTTGGGTTTTGACATGCTAATTGTTATCAAGTCTTGTTTTGAAAGGAGTATTGGCACTGGTTTTTGCCAGACTGCTTGTGATAATTCTGACAAAGGATTTTGATTATTTTAATTTATTTGTTTAATTTATTTGTTTAATTGTTCAATTTTAAATTAATTTAAAATTATATCAGTAGCTGTTTGGTTCAATAATTTTCAAGAGCAATAATAGTTCTGACATGGAAAATTAGAACTGTGTCTGTCTGGACAGCACCTCTATGGAGCTTACAGTAGAGGACACCAGAATCACTGGGCTTGAGGCTCTCAGCTGGTCTGCACTATATTTAACACATGCTCTTTGGTCTTTCTTTAATGAAATTACAAGTTTAGAAACGAGATCATTTGCCTTGGTTTTTTCCACTGCTGCCCTGTCTGCTTTTAACTGATTAAAGTTGCATAAAGTCAGAGATAATTCTGATAGCAGCAAGCACTTCTCGCCAAACTGGACATGTCCCCTTTCCCATTCTCACTCAAGTAGGCTGCTGTACGTTTTCAATTTGGAATTTAATTGGTGCTGGGTACTAATGGGTTTTTGTCAAATTATTCACCCCCATACGACCAAGGAGAACAGCAAAACCAAATTAAGCACCTCAGCTCTGATGTGTTACTGAGGTAGTGAGTACCTCTTGTTTTGTCCTTTAGGATGCATCTGTTTAGCAGTAGTGTCCCAGCTGGGCTCCTGAGACAAAAGATAGGGAAAGTTATCAGGGGAGTTCCAAAGGGATCAAGTGTGCTGTTCAGTCACACTTGTTTCTCAGTTTTGTTGTAGTAGTCAGGAGTGTTTTGGGGAAGCATAAAACCAGTAACACAGAGGCATAGTTTTATGCAAAACCATATTCTTTTAAGAAATTTATACACCCTTTTGTGAAATTGGGATATTTTTTTTTTGTTTACTCTGATGAGAGAAAAGGGGGAAGCAGGGAACAATTTTATTACTTGGAGATTATTGCTTTTCCCTATTGTTTAATATTTCCTTGTTGCTAAGACTGTATTGCTGCACAGATAAGCAGTCTGGCTTCCTGCACTTGTATAAAGAAGGTGCCATTACTACAGCTGAATGAAAATTTAGATATAAATACTATGTCAGTGAGAGAATAAGATGCATTTTAGAGTTTTCTGTCTTTGGGAGTTCAATATTTTGAGTGATTTATTGTGCACAAATCGTACATATTTGTTTTTGTAGAGGGAGAAACAGCAGGACTGAATAATGGTTTTGTACAAGCTTGAGGCAGCATAAAAAAGGGAAAAAAATCAGAGTTGATGTTTCTGTTTCCTGTAAGGAGCAGCTGCACTTGAACTGCACTTTAAAAACTATTTCATTTGAAAAGCCAGAGCAAAGTAAAATATTTTACTATAGATTACAACCTTGCTAAGCTTTTTGTAGTTTGACAATCAATGTAGAGCATAAGCGATAGTGCTAGTCATCAAGGCAGCCAGCTTCCAAAAATACTGACTGCAGCAGCAATTTCTTCTCAGTCTCAGACACTGAATCTTATATCATATTCTCTGAATGCCACTGTTCCTTTAAAGTGCAGCCTCTTCAGTCCCCAAGGATTCCCTCTGCTTCACAACTCTTTTGTTAGGAGCGGTGTGTTCAGGCACAGAAAATTCCTCACAGGAAAAACTCCTTGTGAACAGTTTATCTTTAAAGGGAAGGGCTGTCTCTCTGTCCTTTCTAGCTCTTCCAAGCAGAGTGCCCTTGTGCTATTAATTGTTCACTATATACAGTAAGTCCAGCATCCCAGGCTTGCAGAAGGGTTTTAAATAGTGGACTCTGAGGTTATATTGAAGTCAGGAATTAAAGCTATGTCTTAATAATAGTAAACATGATGGAATTTCCCCACAAACCCAAATAAAAGCCTTCATTCCAGTAAGTGACAAATGTGGATACTATGCTCCCAATACCCTATGTAGTCTTTTTCAGGCTGTTTATTTTTAACAGCCCAGAATTACTCTGCAACACAGCATTTCACTTAGCAGAGGCTTTGTTTCAAGGTGAAGATTTAGATGTAAAAGTTAAGAAGTATGGGCATGAAGTAAATGACTACTCTGTGCAGTGTTCTCTTTTGATCAAATGTGCTGAGTTGCTTATTTTCCTGTTGAATTCCGATGGAGATAAAATCTGGTGCATGGGTTAATAATAGTGGTAATGGTGCATTTGGTGTCACAGGACAGCTGACCAAGAGAAGTCCTTTTGCTGTTCTGGAGGCAGTGGAGAGGTTTAACATTTTGCTTTGGTTCTAAGTGTATATTTCCATGCAAAGCTGTTATGGGTGATTTGACTCTTAGCTCTACCAGTACATCTGTTATTCTGCACACATTGTACCATAAAAAAAAAATCCAAAGACTAAATTAAATTTGGAAATTGGTGTAACTTTGGAAAGTGGTATCATAAATTCCTTATGCTTACTTGGATTGCTTTATTGTCCCCTCTTGAAATTAAGGACCACAAAGTCTTGCAATCTTTTTAAAAAGAAAAAAAACCATCCAAATAAAGAGGCTTTACAGTTGAAACCTTTCGTAGACTCAGAATTATGCTAAATAACTTTGTGTTTGAATTTGTTTGGGTGTTACTTTTGCAATTGATGGACCACATGACCAAAGTGAAAGGGCATTAGAACCTGATCCAACAAATAACTTAAGTACTTGCTTAACTTTCAGCAATTGAGTAGTCCCTTTTACTTCAATGAGGATGTTAATGTACTTAGAGTTAAACATGTGCTTAAGTGATTTGAAGGATTAGTGCCTATCTTCATCAAGGTTTTTGATCTCTTCAGTGTTGTACATGTGTTCTTTGTGTGTAGTTATATGTAAAGATCATTTACGTGTGATTATCCAGCCTAGTGACACAGGGGCCACAGCAGTTCATAGGGGTTCTTTAAGTGATGCATTTGGTGAATTTACAATTCATGTGTAAGGATCAAAAAAAATTACTGAGTTTCTGTCTTACACATTATGTTATTATTAAGCATTATAATAGTAAATACTCACAATATCTCTATGAAACACTGATTATATAAATAGCATTATGTTCAGAATGTCTTTTAGTCCCTTCTTACTACAGCCATTCAGGATGAATTACAATGACATAACCAAAGTGTCCCCAGATTTCAGAGAATACTTCTGCAAAGTTAATCCCCAGTTCCACTGAAATACTGATACTCCACAGTTAGATTCACCACCATCCCATGTAGCTGCCAAGGAGTTAGGTATTTCTTTCAATATGAAAATAATTCCCAAATGTTTCCACAAACATTCGAGTCACAGGCACTCTTAATCCTGAGTGCAGAGGTTTGCCAACCAAGGTACCATTCCACTGCAAGAGAATAAGGGTTTGTATTTGTGGATCCTTAAAAAATAAAATCCCACCAGCTGTGGAGCTATGGCAGAGTTAGGGTTAAACCTGCCGTTTCAGATTCTTATCTAACACCTCAGTCACAATGGCAGCATTAATTTTATTTTATTTTTGTATTCATTTAAGCTTTTTTCCCCTGTTAATGTTTGCTTCCTTCTTGTGGTAAGAAGGAATGTGCCCAGTCATGCTCTGCCCTGATTACAAGACTTAAGGAAGTTGGAAATGTGGGCTAGATGTTCCCATGTATTGTCACTCACTGAAAACCCAAAATAGATTAATATTTTAGGCTGATGACTGATATTTGGCCATGGTCTGTTCTGCTATCTCTGCTTCATGCTTGAAGAAAATGTGTCTGACTGGCTAAGAGACTGACTCGTGATTTTGTACAAATGTCATTTAACCCAAATGTCCTTGTTCCTAATCCCTGTTAAATAGACAGATAACTCAGAAAGACAGCAGCCTTAACACAGCCTGGGTTTAAGTTATTAACAAGGAGCAGAGTAATAGCTGCCTGCTTGCTGTTTGGTGCTACTTCTATGCCAAACACTGGTAAACTTTGTTGTTTCAGGGGCTCTGCAAAATGAAGTTGTACAGCTCCTAGTTACTGTACCTTTAGCTGATTTGGCAGCTCAGCTGCCACTAGAAACTTAAGCATTCATTAGCATTTCATGAGCCTTTAGACAATATCCCTATCTGTCAGTTCAGTTCTTTCCCTGACAATAGTGTTAATGATTTAAAATATTCAGCAGTGTAACCAGACAATGTCAGCTAAAAGGCAAAATGCTGCATTTGCATTCTCGGTGTCTCGAAAAGCCATTTCAACAGACACTGAGCTTAAGGCAGAGAAGCATTTTAATCCTTCCTGTGGTGAGTGCTGAAAGCCACCAGAATGGCCCATGAAGAAAACAAGATCTGGAACTTCACAGAACAGCAAGAAATGTTACATAGAGGAGGGGGAATGATCTAAACTTTATTTTAAATTCATGCAGCATCCCTATACATAACTGTAATAGGAGAGCTTATAAAAGTGGTGCACAGAACACGTCCAGTATATTTGACTATTTAAGGCATTCATTCCTATGCCTCCACCCCTTTCCAAAATAAAAACTTAGTGTCGTTTACATCCCTGGGCAGCATGACAGGATGACTTAAAGCAGAATAATGAAGATTCAAATCCAGTATCAATTAAGTTGTTAGTGCAGGAAAATCAGTTTTCTTCAGCTGTTGTGCTTGAAAATTATTTAGATATTTGTTTATTTACAGTGTCACAGTTACTAAAACTGGATCTATGTCTGGATACAAATCTGACCTCTATATTGAAATGTTTGTAGGTGTCAAAATCTTCACAAAAATCTTCACATCTATAATAGCCTAAAATATAGCACAATAGATGTCTGAATAAATCTGACTATCATAGATGTACCTGACCACCTAGGCCAAAATTGCAGGTGTAGCTAAAAGGACTTTCCTTTGCTGTTACTGAAATCTGTTCAACTGCTTTTCTAAATAGAAATATTGTGGCTGAATCTTGAATTGTTACAAGTGACAATGATGATGAACTTTGAGAAAACAAGAATGAAAATAAGACAGGAGTAGAAAAGTAAACTGAATTTGTATAAGTGTTTTTAGTGGGGTTTTTTTCAACTTTGCTGCTTTTTTGTATGGCTCTTTCTTGTGATTACCATCAGAAATTAGAAGTTCTTTTGTACTTCCACAGATCTCCCCACATGGTGGATCTTCTTCCAACGTGAATGGTATACCTGAATCACTCCGTTGCCAGAGTCCCGAAGGTAGTGCACCAGGAACTGCTGGCAATCTTTGCCAGAATTTTGCTGTGGATGATACTTGTGTTAGCACTATCTGGTGGTTTCTGAAGACTCCAAATCATTTTCTGTTTAGAGATGTTTGTTATCTTGTTGGTTCACCTTGTAAAAATTTTAGCCCAATTCACGCATCAAGGCAGTAAAGTAAGGAGATAAATTTTGATAGTTTTTTTGTCCATTGGTAGCGTATTACTGGACCTTGCTCTTCAAGAGTTGCTGTCAGGAATTTGGCTGCTTTTGAACATGACCTGCATTATCACTAGAAATGTGTTTTGTGGCTGGATTGAAAGAGGAACCCTCCTCAAAAGAGTTCATTGTGCTTCAGGTGGAACCACTGGCCAATCAACTGACCTTAGCTAAATGAAACCTTTCATTCCTCATCTCTTTACAGCAAAGTCAATTATTTTGAAATATTTTTAAATTTCATGTTGGGGTAATGTATTTTATTTTAAAAATACTAAAATAAGCATCTATCAAAATTACTTGCATTTTGGATGTTCTAGGAGTACCTATAAAAACTTGAAGGAATTCAGCAGATTCCTGAAGAAAGAAAGAAAACTTTTTGGGTCTTTTATATACATTGTAGCTGAATATTATTTGCATTTTTGCTTTGAGTTTGCAAAAAAAAGAAGTCAAAAAAGTAATTTGAGGTCAGAAAATTTTAGATTAAGAACTTCTAACTGCATTCTTTACTTTTAGAATATGCCTATACAAGAACATAGCAAGAGGCTTATTTATGTGTTCAAAGGTCAAATATCTTTGGGTTCATCTTGTTCTTCTTTACACTTGAGATAAAACCAAGGGAATTGCAGCAGAGAAAACAACTTGCTTTTAAGTTTTGTTTTGTATTTGTGACTGTTTTTTGTCTGTGGAACCCATTGGGGATACATTGTATCCTGCTGACACTTCTCTTCAGCTTGCATTATTGACTTCTCTATTTTTTTACAGGCTTGAATGGAAACAAGTTCTCAGGGTCATCTACCATTCTTGAGAAGTATAAAGTGGGGAAGGTGATTGGCGATGGCAATTTCGCTGTCGTAAAGGAGTGTGTGGAACGGTGAGCAAGCAAACTGTTCAGTCCTGCTGCTTTTTGCACTGGATAAAGCCCTGAGCATTAACACAATTTCCTACACAAATGTAATGAGATGAAAGTGAAGAGCAGTTGCAAAAAATATGCACACACTTCAGGAGAAATAGGCATAGCAAAACAAGCAGAGTTTCCTGTGTTTTCTTCTAGCAAAGGGATACAAGAGCAGCAGAGAGCCATGGCTTTTTATCCCACAAAATAAAGGAGCCATCACCTTCTTCTCATGGTGCCTCCTCAGGAAATCCCACAGCTCTTCAAGAAGTCTCTCACACTACAGATGGTTGTGGATGGCACGAAATTCTGTGTGGCATCTAAACAGAGTTTGAGAGACCCCCCCCGCCCTCCTTCTGCCTCAGCAATTCTGCTGCTGTGGTGTCCCCACTGCCTGCTGCCGACGTGATTTGTCACAGCTTCCAACATTCTGTGGGTAGAGTACTCTTAAAGACATGCAGTTGTTGGCTATCAGCCTGTGCTGGTGGCTCCCTTGGGCTTGCTGCTTGTGTTTGGTGGTGTGGAGGAGCCAGACACTTCAAATGAACCCTCCAATATGCCTGAAATATCCTTGTGCCTGATTCCCTGTGAGGTAGGCAGGATACCTGTACAGACCTGTGCAGTGCTGCTGCTCTTCCTCTGCAAGCTTTGTGCCACACTTTGCTGCCAGTGCAAACATAACAGATGATCTGACTGTCACTTTCTCAGTGTATTTTTTTTAGAACCACCTTCTGCTATTTTCATCAACCTGAGAGTTATCTCAGTTTCTTAAATATTATGAGGAATCTCCAATTTGTACGCAAATACTGGGAAAACTCAGCAAATTACTGTGAAAAACATAAATGTAAGAGAAACATTCTATTATTTGATCCTCATCTGCTGGTTTTAGTTAAATTGAAGGAAAAAGAATTTGGAATGGAAACACCTCATTCCAGAACTGAGGTCAGACTAACAGGTCTGTAGTTCCCTGGGTCTTCCATCATGCCCTTGGAAATTCAGCGTCAGCAAATGGAAAGTCACTTCTCCCACCCCTGTGGGCTCAGGAGTCTGGGCAGACCAACTTCTATCAGTGGCACTAAAGACTGAGGCAAACAAAAAAAGCATTCCATGCCTTTGCTTTATCTTAGTGTTAGTCAGGTGACAGTCTTCAGCAAGTTCCAGTGTTTTCTTTCCAGCTGTCTTTGCTATTGACACACTTAAGAAAGCCTTAAGTGACTCAACACTGGCCAGTTTCAGCCCTAATGGGCCTTTGGCCTTTCCTCTCCTCTCCCTGCATGTACCAACCACAGCTCTGAAATCTTGCTGCAAAGCCCCACCTTGCTTCCAAAGATCCTCTTGAGCACCACAAGGAGTTCCCTGCTCAGCCAAGCTGCTTCTTTGCCACTTAATGTTAGGGAATATTGAAATCTCCCACAGGAGCAAGAGCTATTGATGCAGTAATCTCTCATCATTACCCACAGAGTAACTCATCAGTGCTTACATCCCAACCAGGTGATCCCAGACATCCTCTACACCACTTCCTTTGTCTTCACCCAGAGGTTTTCATGAAGTATAGCAGGCTAAAAGCACAAGATAACATATTTATTATCAGAAATATAAGCTGTGCAATTTGGAAATCACTTTAATCCCACTGGAAATGGGACAAGGGCTGCTAAGTCACTGAACGTCATCTGTGCTTTTTAGAATGAGGAAAGTGAACTAGAAAAACAACCTTCCAATTGTAAAAATTTTAAAAGGGCACAATTCCACTTCAATATCTAGTTTTGTATGTGATCAAATCTTTAATGCAACATTATTAAATTAATTTTATGTAAAATAAATATAAAAAAACAATTGCTAATAATAATGATGAAAGAGGAAATGCCAACTGTAAATGCTTCTCTTTTAATTTCTACTAATTATACATAATTTCTGATAGTGTTGTGCTAAGAAGCCTTAGCTGTGGAGTCAGGATCCTATTACACAGCTACCAGCTGGCATGTTCTACAAAAAGAACAAGAAAAGAATAAGGTGGTGTCTTTTGTGCCTGTGTGTCTGTACATAAAGACATGAGTCAACAGATGGCCGCTGACAGCTGGAGAAGAATCCCCAAAACCTGTCAGACCATGCTGGTGTAGGATGTGCAAGGATGTTAGCACACAAATTGTGTTGGTTGTAGCCACCTTTATTTTGTGGGTGCTGCAGTAGAGGATATTTGCAAGAGGGATTTGAAGTTGTTGGATGATTTGACTTTGTGAAGGTAAATTCCCCCTGCTCACAGCACGGGTGCAGGAGGCTCCCCAAAGTGGATGTTGCTGATCCTAGGCTTTCTGATCCCACGGTGTAAAGTACAAATTGTGGTTGTGATTTCCACACACTGCTGTACTCCTAGCAGATCTTCCACCGGGTCTGTAACATCAGAGGGTGGCATTTCACCGATCCCATTTAGATAAGGGCTTCTATCTAAAGAGCAGATCAGGTAGTAACTATGACAACCTCGCAGCTACAGCTGCACTTCCAGGGCAGGGATTCTCGCCCGCAGCTTTCAATAATGCACAAATGGAATGATGTGCAAGGATGTTAGCACACAAATTGTGTTGGTTGTAGCCACCTTTATTTTGTGGGTGCTGCAGTAGAGGATATTTGCAAGAGGGATTTGAAGTTGTTGGATGATTTGACTTTGTGAAGGTAAATTCCCCCTGCTCACAGCACGGGTGCAGGAGGCTCCCCAAAGTGGATGTTGCTGATCCTAGGCTTTCTGATAAGACGGTGTAAAGTACAAATTGTGGTTGTGATTTCCACACACTGCTGTACTCCTAGCAGATCTTCCACCGGGTCTGTAACATCAGAGGGTGGCATTTCACCGATCCCATTTAGATAAGGGCTTCTATCTAAAGAGCAGATCAGGTAGTAACTATGACAACCTCGCAGCTACAGCTGCACTTCCAGGGCAGGGATTCTCGCCCGCAGCTTTCAATAATGCACAAATGGAATGTTAGGTGTTAATTCAGATCCTTTTTCTGTAAGGTGCTGGTTTTGACCAGTTGTATCTAATGCCAAATGCAGTGAAAATCGTCCTGCAAGTTTGAAAATATGCCTTTTGCTTTTGTATATACCTCCTGTTTTCTAGTGGTTCTGATACACACTGGAGTCCGTAGGCACTGGCACAGTACAAAATAGCAGCAACTTGGTCTTACAGCAATTTCATATGATTTTTAGTTCATCAATAATATAATTAATAATTTCATCTTTTTAAAAAAAAAATTAATTTGTTACTTTCTTTTTTCCATTCATTTTCCCCCCCATCTGGAGAAATGGAGGTTTTTATTGCTTAAAGGGATGAAAGACAAACAAGAGCTCCTTTCTGTGAGAGTATTTGCTGAAAACAGTAATCCTTTTTTACTTTGTATATGACCCACCCTGTTAAATGTCATGGGACTTTAGATGACTGCTGCAGAATTCCACAAAATACTTAAAAAAAAATAAATTTGTAGTACAAAAGCTCAAAATCAGTGCCCAATAAATTCTACAGGATTTTAGACTATCTGTAATGGACTATGGCATTTTGGCTCTGTTGAATCCTATTGAATTTTTTTATTAGGGTATCAATCTTCACACATATACATGTATGATTTTATCTTCAAAGCCAACCAGTTGAACAAAGCTAAGTGGAAGGCAAATTTTGCATGTTGCATTAAAGGAGTGACAGAGTTGTGCCAGGTCACAAAGAAGAAATTGCAGCTGGATGCTGGGATTCATACACCAAGGGGGCTGGGTTGTGGTAGTCAGGGAAACAGCAGGCACAAATGCTGCTGAGGAACAAAAACCAAGCCCAGGTCTGCTCTGTGAATTTTCTGTCAGCACCCTCCATGTGCCCCAGCATGTTGTTATGGTGGTGTATTTACAGAAAATGCAACAGTCTTTCTAATTTGCTCTCGTGTTTTTCTTGCTCAGATCCACAGGAAAGGAGTTTGCCCTGAAGATCATAGACAAGGCCAAGTGCTGTGGGAAGGTAGTGTACAACCATTGCATGTGTACAGAGCAGCACTAGCAGCTGCTCATTAGTCATAAATGGTGGGTGTGTTTGGGTTTTCTGACTATATTCAGAGTATCCCTTTAACAAGATGATAATGTATCCAAGAACCAAATAATAAAAGCAGTGAGTGTCAGTCTACTACATAATAGACAAAAAACAAACTAATTGTTGCCTATATTATTGGGATGATAAAAAGAATGCTAATATGCACCCCAATTTATTGGACTATTTTGATGTGTTAAATATGAGAGAGGAAATTTGCAGCTATATGTTTATTTATGCTATTCCCATCCCACTCTGCCTTTTCTTTTTCTCTCTGTATGGCTCAACATGCTCCTTTTATAAGCAGAACATGGATTTGAAAAAAAATTTTGCAACCTTTTCTTTCTGTTTATGTAGTGTCACCTTCCTGTTTTAACAAAGATGTCTTCTGTTCTGAAAACTTTCTTTTAATTCAAACTTTAAACAGAAAAATCCAAAATTTTCTCTTCAGGAGGACAGTATCTCATATAATGCGAGCAAATACCTTAGAGTGTCAGACCTCTTCTTTCCCTTCATACTTCTTGAGTATAGGTATTTTTACAAAGGAAGAAAAACTGCCTTCCCTCTTTGTGTGGTAAGGAGCTGTGTGATGCTGTGATGACTTCCTATTAGGAGAGGTCCTTAAACAGAAACATTTTATCTGTGCAGATTTTAAACCATGTTTTCGATGCTAGGAGATAAGGGTTTCATTTTACCTCATATTCTCCAGGTTTATTTAGAAAATTTAGAAAGGAATCCTAAAAATGTGCAGCCACAAGAAAAAGTGCTAGGATTGCCTTTCTGAGATTAATATGTTGCAATTTCTTTAACTGAGGAAAGCGTGACCCACTGCATTCCACTGCAAACAAAATTTTTGGATGATGTGTACAGCTTGCAACTTTAGATGGTTTTTATTACTTGTCTGAGTCAGCTGCTTAGGTATCATAAATTGGAATGGTCTGGAGATAGATAACCTATTTTACACAGTAGAGTTTATAGGAATTTTGTATTTATCATTCTCCTTGCTTTAAAACATCTATAAAAAGAGAACTCAACCCTGTGGATGCATCGTTGCCCAAAGGACCTATATCTGTATAGCTAGAGACTGTTGGAAGATGTTTGTACCTCTTAGGGCATTGGCAGAATCATCCTGGAAGAATTCCAACAAAGGAAATAATGAAATTTTGCTACAGCTTATTCCTGCCTCACTCAGTTCCACAGCCCTGCCTTAAAAATACCCATCCAACCCAAATTTGGATGATTTAAGTGTTGCTGACTGTTCCTTGATCTTGGATGTTCAGAAATTTGAATCCAATTGACTGTTTTCCACAAGTGGCTTAAATGTTCATTACACAATAATGTCTTTGTAAATTAATCATATTAATGTAGACTGAAACATATATTGCACTATCCAGGAGAACGCCATAACAGGTTTTGGAATTATTATTTTTTTGCATGGCAAAACATAGTAAACAGTGGGGTGGTTGAAAATAACTAGCTACATATTAGTCGGCATTTTTTGAGGACAGATTTTTAAACAGTAACTCAACAACATTCTGGAGCCTTTTAAAAAAATATTGTTTATTTTAAGTATTAATTATGCCTGAATAGTTCAGCCAAGAAAGCACAGATAAAGCCATTGTGCCTTAGTTGTAATTAATGGGTGTAATAAATTTAATATGTTCCCTGTTCTTTAGGTTGAGAAAGCTGTAATAACATTTTTGTTTTTGCTTGGATTCTTAGTTTTGAGTTTCCAGGCTTCCATCCCTGAGGCTTAATATGCTGTGGCTGTTCACGTCTGTCTGGTGATGAGATTCAGCATTGTGTTTAATAGAATTGCTTCCTGTTTGTCTGTTTTGTTTTCTCTCCAGAGCACTTTGCTTGGAGCAGGCATATGTTTGTTCTGAGTGACAATTGCTGCTCTTTCAATGTGAATTTCAAAGGTGTGGTGTCTAACCCCTGTGTGCCGTACTGCTCTCCCACCAAACAAGATGCACCCAGGCATGTGGTTTCTGAGCTATGCAGCCACAGAAAACTTTGCCAAAAGCACAATGCATCTGTAAATAACCCCAGAAAAAGAAGGTGCAGTGGTGTAAGATATCCAGGCACTGCCTAAGCACAGTGGATCACGTCTCCTCCTGATGCTCTGCTCACAAATGCATGAAGTGCATGCTCCTTATCAGTGCATTCAACATGGCTAAGTTCCCAGTCCAGTGACATTATTTGTTCCCTGCCAGGGTGGAAGGATACTCCTGTCTGATGCAAGCATTGTTTCTTTTTCTGCAAGCATTCTCTTCTTTTCCAGAGAACCTAAATACAATATCCATATTCCAACATTTATAAAGGAAAACTAAAATCATTCTTCACACAGAAGGGACACGTACTTTTTTTTTGCTCTCCAGTGTTAAAATATTCTAGAAAACAAGGCATTTGAAACTAATTTGTTCTCAAAAACCATTACTTCCTCAGAAGCACAGGGAAGGGGAAATTGAACTCAGTCTGTGTGCTGTTAAGCTGTTGGAGTCACAACAATTTAACTGAGCTACTACAAGTTCTGCACATTGCAAATCTGAGCAGACATATAAAATGAACCAAAATCCATAACCAAAGCACTTAGAATATTTTTTTTCTTGAATATACTCCATGACTTTTTTAAAAAAATTAAGTCCTTGGATGCAAATCCTAGGTAAACTGTCCTTGAGTAACCTCCAGCAAATGAGAGGTGAAGGCTGGAGAGGATCAAGAAACTTGTTAACTGTTGATGAGGGGTGACAGGTTCCAATGATCCAGCTGGGGGGCAGAAAGGTTCTGAACTTAATTTCACCTTATAATACGCACATAAGAACATAACCGGCACTTCCTGAATTGCTGTCATGTTCTGGGGTCTTTTTAGGAGACGCCCCATTTGTTATCTGTGTGAAATATTTTTAAATTAAATGTGGTCAGTGATGAAATACAAGTTAAGGTCCAGCAACTGAAAGTGACTGTCTGATAATATAAATTAATCAACACAAAGGGTGCTCACTGATCGAGTGATTGGCTGATCAAAGGAAAAGTGAATTGACAAATTCATGTTTCAGATAAACTCCTATCCTCTTCTGAACAGGAACACCTGATTGAAAATGAAGTGTCTATTCTGCGCCGAGTGAAGCACCCAAACATCATCATGCTCATAGAGGAGATGGACACCCCCACAGAGCTCTACCTGGTGATGGAGCTGGTCAAGGTAAGGCTCAGGGGGCCTTTATTTGTCTTCTTTGAATGTGTTAGTGTGAAATCTGAGCAGTACCTAAGAACTCTAAGATCTTGGGAGATTTAAGCAAATAAAGTTTCAGTGGCAGCCTGCATTTTTAAATTATAAAAATACACCTGTTACACAATTATATGAATGGGATTTCTCTCTCTTCAGTTGTAATTTGACTATTAACACACATTTGAGGTAATTTTGAAATGTGCTCAGTCTAGAGAGAACTGGATAGTGGGTTTTATATCATGCCTACAATATGCAGGGGTGATAGTGATATGGATTTACTAACAGATTTTACTATTCTCATTACGTAATAAATTGATTTAAAGAAATGAACTCTCTGTAATGAATTTATCTTAATAGATAAGACAAATAGATTAAACTCATGCAATTTTCATTCTGGAAAACCAAAACTCAGAATATCTCACCCATTTTGCTTATATCAAACAGTTCACGAGAGAACAGATGCTGCTTTCATACGTGTACAGAGAAAACACAAATATTCTTTTTGCTGTCACCTTGTGAGACAAACACACAAGTAGCATCAGGTTCTAGTCATGCATTCTCTTGTCTGAGTTCTGTACATGCAGAGCAGCACTACACATCAGCTTGATTGGCATGTCAGATGCAAATAACATACAGCAAAAGCAGTATGCAGTAGGAGCACTGCTCATTTTTTGAGGAACACTTTCTATTTCTGACTGAGGCACTATGGCATTCAGGAGTCCCTTCTAGAATGGTTGCCAGACTGGGAAACCTCTAAAGGAAGTGTGTAGTTGTTGAATACATAATTTCTGAAGCCCACTCATCTTTCCTCCTTTCCAGAAGTTATTTTTATACCCTATAGGCTTTTTGGGGTTTCAAGACAGTATTTTTTTATGTTTTAATTCACCACCATCTTGGCCTGTATTTCCTGAATTGCTGCTTCTCTTTGGTGTGCATTGAAGTGCTTGGAATGCCACCCACAGCTCAGACAAATCACTCTTCAGATGTATCCAGGGAAACCATCATGGAGACACCCACATGAAATTTGTTGTAATGACTGAAAATTCCCCATCAGTAACTCACTCACACATTGCTGTGTATTCCCAGAGGAATAGGGCATCCATAAACAGAACTTGGCACATTCAGAAATCACCTGGAGGTTCTGCACTTTGATATATCTCGATCAGTGGATTCATTTTTGTTGGAATGTATTTATCTTTTTTTTTTTCCTCTTCAGCTATATTTATTTGGTATTTCTTGCAATATCTGCAGAAATTTGAATTTGCTGAATATTTTTTAGGGTTTTTTTATTATTATTATTGGGCTAATTTATTTTAGGTTTTACTCAAAATCAGGGCTGTTTTTCAACATGTTGAAGGTATTCTACTGATAAGATGAAGAAAAGGGATGCTGTGTGCCTGTACCTGTAGGTAATATAAATGAGAGATGAAAGGTAGGAAGGTCAATAGAAAAAAAATCTGTGATTTACCCAAGCTCAGACACCAGATGCCTGGATTACAGTTAAGAATTTAGTGTAGATGACCAAAGTCCCAGTCTAGTATCTTGGTGACAAGAACATCTTTCTGCAAAACTTTTTTTTTTTTTTCTGTTAAACAGGAATTTGAGCATGTGTTTTGAGAAGGAAGACTTTACATGTTTAGGGTTTGGGGTTTTTTAACCAAATACCGTCTTAATTATTTTTTAAGCAATGATCTTTTTCCTTTCCATTACATAGGGAGGAGACCTCTTTGATGCCATCACTTCATCTACAAAATACACAGAGAGAGATGGGAGTGCCATGGTCTACAATTTAGCCAGTGCTCTCAAATACCTGCATGGTCTCAACATTGTGCACAGAGACATCAAACCAGAAAATCTTCTGGTACGTCCCACTTATTTTCCAGTATTTTCTCTTACTTTGTTCTCATTAATGCAAATGCTTGTGTAGAAATGTCAAGGAGCTCAGCAGAGAACAGCAGGCATATTAATTTAGAATAAGTATGTATGAAGTAAATCTTTTGCCATGAGGTAGCAATCACTGTATTGCAGGAGAGCTGTGCTCAAACCTGTCCTTAGACCTATCTTTATTTACAATTTGATTGGCTGCCTTTTGAATAAGCAGGAGTATTGTCTCACAAAACAATGAATTTTAAAGCTATGCTGATGAATTATTTATCAGTTTGCAAGTGGGAGAAAGGTGGGCTGAGAGCCATTTCTTCAACAATCCTATGGTTACCATCTGAAGCCAGTGGTTTTTTCCTTTCACTGTCATTGTAGGATCATCTTCCTGATGGTTTACCAGAATTATGGCTGGGAATTAACCCTTTACATGCATTTATTCTTTTCCTAGGCAACTGGCTACTTTTGTGTTCAGCAGAGACATAAAATACCTGTGTTGACAAGAATTACCATGAAGTCTGCTTTGGGAACTACTTATTCTCCAATCCACAGAGGGCATCATTCCCATTCTGTGCACAGAATGGGATCAGTGTGTGCTGTCTCAGTTATCCATCCACAGAGGTTGCACTTGTTTATTACATATTGCATATTAAGTGGCACGCACTACACAAACAGGGCCATAATCTCCCCTTGCTTGAGACATTTCTTAAAAGTCTTTTGTGGTGTTTGTCAGTCCTGTTTAATGAGTTCGAACTGAGAGTAGGAGTCACAGCTTATCCCAGATTGGATTTTGAACTATAACAAGGACAAGGCTACAAGCTGAAAATATTCCTAATTAATAGTCAATTCTTTCCCCAGTAATTCCACTGACAGTGTTTAGCAATTTAAATAAACCCTCAAATAAATTAGATTGTTTAGCAAAAAGAATCATGGGGGGAGGCTTCTCCTGGAAAAGGTAGTCACAGCAACATGGCACTTGAGAGAGAAAATGAAGGTGCAAGTCTCATGTACTATTAGTGTATTTCCAAACACAGACAGTCCAAAGAAATGTTAAGCTCTCATTAGAGACTGAATCAGTTATAAATAGGCACAAATGCTCTTTCTGCCTAGAAAGCCTAAAGAGATTACTCAACAGATGCAAATCTTGCTCACTGTGATTGACAGCAGCAGAATGTTGAGATAGCATCCTGGTATTGAATGTAAATGCAAATAATTCCCATCAACTGCTACCTGTAATTGCACATAGTTAGTTTTTTTGCACAGGGTCATCCAGCCTGTCTGGATGGGAATTACATTCCCTTTGCTAGTCATGCATTTAAAAAATGCAAACCCTAAGAGTAATAGCTGGTATGAAGGTGTTCTATAAAGAACAAGTGTTTCCATTACTGATATGAATTACACAGAGGAATGAAGAAAGGTATTGCAGTGCTCAGTTGTTTGAGGAAGGCAAATAAATTCAGCCATTCTGGAGATTATGGGGTGCTCTGTTCTAGAAACTAGATGCCTTTGAAATCATGTTAATATGAACATTTTACTTTAAGAATGAAACTGAGATGAATTTATTAGGGGGATGCTTCCTTTGTGTTGGTCTGGTTTGATTTATTCCTGCCATCACTGTTGTATAGCACTTTTCTTTCTATCAAAATTCAGCTTCTTTCATCAATAAAATGACTCAGTGCTAGATTGTTTATGGGCCTTTTGGTAAGGTGCAGTTGGGTCTGCACAGGAACCTAAACTGAATTTGCCCAGAGCACAGGGAAGACATTTGCTGATGAAATTGCCCAATATGCTGACTAGATTTATGCTAAGATAACAAGATGTTAAACAAATCTGATTGTAGCTGCCAGTGCCAGTTTAAACTCTAGGTCCCAGTCAAATGAAAATAGAGGATTATATTTTACTGAATATATTTAAAACTTCTCAACATTCAAGGACTAAGTTTTCTTTTCCACCTCTAGCTGTTCGAGGCTGTGTCGTGCTCTGACCTACATAGCTGGCAGACAGCTCCATTGAACATTTGCTTCACCTGCAATCAATGGGAATATCATTTTTTCTCTTCTTACCTTACAGGGCTGTGGAAATTACCTCTTTTTCCCATCTTCTTGGTGTGGTGATGAGATTTCCCAAAGTAATTAGAGGATATAAAAAGGCAGATGTTCTGCTCCTCATTCTGTGTTAATCTCTCTGATTCTAGGTGTGTGAATATTCAGATGGAACCAAGTCTTTGAAGCTTGGAGACTTTGGACTGGCGACGGTGGTCGAAGGCCCTTTGTACACTGTCTGTGGGACACCCACCTATGTGGCTCCAGAAATCATTGCAGAGACAGGGTGAGCATGACTGCCTACAACACAGGCCTGGTAACCACTCTTTTTTGACAGGTTGTAAGATCTAAATGCTCCAACAGGCTGGCCCTCCATTACTTTGTAACCAAACCCCAAAAGGGCACCACTCCCAGTTCCTCCAAGAGGCCAGTATCCTTGCTCTGCCTGCTCCCAAAATTTGCCTTTGCCTCCTCTCCCACCTTCCAAGGACCAGCTCTGGTGCAGTGGAATCCATTGGTTTGTGCTCCCTGCCTCACCTCAGCATCCAGAGCTCCTCACTACGCAGGGCAGCTGCTAGGAGAAGAACAGACAGGCAAAACACAGTGCTTGCATTAGAAATGGAATAATTTATACTGGAAGAGGCTGCACAGGTCACCTAGTCTAAATCTGTTCTCAGGACAGTTCTAATGAGATTATATTGATTCAAGTGACCCTTTTGGGTGATACATCCTGTTTGATAACAATTGAACAACCCCATTATTCTGTACTTAACAGGTCATTGCATAAATACAGAAAAAAAATTTTGTAAAATGGTAAATTTTCACCAATGGCAGATTTTCACAAGTCCTCTCTCCTTTGAGACCTCGGAGACTCTTGCCATAGCTGTGACCACTGAATTTCCTGATGGATGGAGGTTTTGTTTGTGTTGTTTCACTCCCTGTTCAGGGCATTTGTTGCATTGAGAAACATTTCACAGCTGCAGTCAGCTCCGGTGTCAGAGGGCACCTCGTCTGCATGCTTGAGGTTTTGACAAACTGAATCTACTGAATAGGAAAAAGGCCTCTTTTTGACCTCTGGTGTTTTAATTTCTGTGCTTTAAAAGAAAAGTGCAGCTCTTCTTGCCCGTGTTACTCACTGGAGAGGCTGAAGAATTGGTGTGTCTTGTTGCTTAGCAACACATGATAACCTTTGAGAGAGTTACTTCACTGTGGGGTCTGAGAAGGCACATCCTTGTCTTTAACCATTAGTGGCTCTGGATTGGGGAAAACCTGGATACTGACTTGGATTTCAGTATATTCAGAAGATCCTGGAGAGCCTTGAGGTAGAGGAAAAAAAGTCATAGAATCATGGTTTCTTAAAGATTGTAAAGGTGTGAAGAAAAATATGCTGAGGTACAAAATACATCACCTCATCAGCAGCAAGTAACTCAGCACAGACTCTCATATAATCCTGCCAGCATCATTTATTTTTGATTGGAATGACTCCTTTTTTGTTGTTGTTGTAATTCAGCACAAAGTAAAACAGACTTGTTTTCTCAGGTATGGCTTAAAGGTGGATATTTGGGCTGCAGGTGTGATCACTTACATCCTGTTATGTGGATTTCCACCTTTTCGCAGGTGAGTGTCAAAGGCAAAACCAGCAAAAGCAATCAAGTCCTTTCAGAGCAAGTCTGACCCTTCTCCCTGAAGGAGGCGTCCTTGGGAGAGGAAAAAAGGTGGATCAGATTGATGGGTTTTCCTCATGGATTCGTTCATTTCTTTGAGTGGTTTTCACTTGTCCCTCATTTTAGGGTTTGGGATCCGTTTTTAAAACATATTTTCCTACGGGGGCGGGTGTTTTAGTGCTGCGTGGGGGGTGTGATGGCAGAGCCGTTTTTCCTTTTGTCCCCACGCGGATCGAGCTCCGCCATCCACGGACACGCGCTGCCCTCTGCCGTTGGCGCCGGGACCTGGCAGCGGTCAACCGGGAGAGGGGGAAAATGTGCTTATCCCGAATTTTTAACCTTGTTCGTCCTTTTGGGAAGTGCCAAACGAGGCGTGGGGCCTGCAAAAACCATTTTTGGTACTCAGAGCCACACTATTTCTGAGTTCTACTGTAATCAAATGGGCGCTTCTTTTGTTGGTGTGGGGCTTTTTGGTTTATTTTTAGGTGTTTTTTTTTGTTTGTTTGTTTTTTTTTTTTCCCCAGAGAATGAGAAGGAATTTCAACATTTTAATAAGGAATTGTGCTCTTAACAAATAAATTACTAATGCAGGGCCTGGGTTTTTTCATTTTTACAGCAAAATACTTAATAAAATAGGTTTTAACTAAAATACCTCACTGAACAAAAATATCTTGCAAATTATACAATTATTTTTGATGAGGAAAATATTAGTTCAGGTATTTGGGTTTTTCATGTTGTTATATCACATTTAAAGCTGAAAATGTGTTTTGAAAGATACATTGTTCAAGAAACTGTATTCTTTGATTAGAGTTTTGAAGGAGGACACAGAGAATGTCCATATCATGTTAGTAGAACCAGGTCATAAGTGAGATTAATAAATGTGTGTTAACTATGCAGCCCCTCTTCCAGTGGAAAAGTTACCTCAATGTATTGGCTCAGAAAAGCTATCACTGTATAAACTTGTAAATTATGCACTTCTAGTAGTTATTAACATAATTTCTGTTCCATCCCCAAATCAAGTTAAAATTCCCATGACAAATTGGCTTTTTCTCTCATAATTTTTTTTTTCTTACTGCTGTTTTACAGTGAAAACAACCTTCAGGAAGACCTCTTTGATCAGATACTTGTGGGGAAGCTGGAATTTCCCTCTCCCTACTGGGATAACATCACCGATTCAGCAAAGGTACTGATATTTTTTCCCACCTGAAACAACATTTCTGCCAAGCCCCTGTGCAGCCTGTGCTCAGTTGTGAAGGCCTGGAAGATGCAGAGCAGCCCAGTGCCCCAGCTGCTGTGCCTTTTCAGTTGGTTCAGCTGAACAGTCCCTGATGAAAACTCAGGTGTTTCAGGCTGCCACCCTTGCTGCTCTGCCTCAGCAAGGGTAGCAAAATGCCAGCTGCATTCGGGGAATGTCACACGGTGCCCAGTTCACTTCATGATGCACTTTACAGCAGGTTCAGTGCTTCAGCTGTCACATAAATGTGTCCCTGAATTTTTTCCTCTTGTCACTCTTTAAAAAAGAAAAATTATTGCTCTGTGGATTGCTTGCAGTAGGCGTTTCTTCCTATTTTTACTTGAGGCATTTGTTAGAACTTTTCAAGAGGTGCAGCCATGGCTAATTGCCACTGCCAGCAGTTCTTCTGTGATCATTGCAGTTTTGGTTAAATTAATTGTGTCTCTAGGACAAAGATTCAAGTTGTAAGCCTCACTTCTCAGGTTAACTCACTAAAGTGCTCTGAATAATATCTGAGGACTCACTAACAAGTGGAGGTGGTTTTTTATCTGGCCAATGAGAAGCTGAATTTTTTTCTGCATTTTTTTCTGCATTTCCCAATGGGTGTTTATCCATTTACCAACATTTCCTAAGTCCCAGTCATCTCACACATTTCCAGACATGCATACTGAATAAACAAGTTCCTCAATCTTGGTATTCAAGGTGATGTCTCACTTCAAACTCCCACAGACTAAAGAACTTGGCTGGTTGGGAAAGCTTTCAGTTAGGTGTGTTGTTATCATCTGCTTGAAGAAACCATTTTCCAAAACCAAAGCAATGGACAGTGCCCTTGAAATAATCTTTAAATAATCTTGATAAGAATATGAAGACTGATAATTTGGAGGCTATAAAAGGTTTTCTGAGGGAGGGACTTGGTTCAATGTTTTTTATTCTTCTGCAGCCACACAGAAGAGAACATTTTCAAATAATTTCATCAGTTTCTTGACTTTCAGGTGCAGATTCCTGTCTCTCATTTGTCTTTTCTTTTAATGTAATGTTACTGAGTGCATGTGCCCTGCCCAAAGAGGATCTCATCTCTCCCATGTTTGTTTTTGTTCTGGTCATGTGCATGAATATATAGAGAACAAAGTGGAATATTAGAGCTGATTTTTTTAACATTTCTTTTTTCATTTTTTTTTTCAATAGACTCAGTGAAACATGAGTACAGTGAAGAAGCTTGATCTCAAACAGACTCTTAATCCTAAAGGGCAAATTTAAGTTCCACTTAAGTCACACTGGTATCACTGCTTCTGGTATCTGCTGGAGTTGTTTTTTTTCCATCTAGATATCAAAAAGATGGCACTGAGAAGAACTTGGTGCAACATTATTTTCAGTTTTAATATCCTCTCCCACTCCCTTCAAACTCCTCTTTTTTTCTTTTTCTGTGAAGGAGTTAATCAGCCTGATGCTACATGTGAATGCTGAAGCCCGCTACACAGCAGCACAGATCCTAAGCCATCCCTGGGTGTCAGTGAGTAAATCACATTTCACCTGTCTCTAATTTGACATTAAATCTGTACATCTAACCATTAACCTGTAGTTTCAGAAGCAGCAGTACAATTAGCAACTATAACACCTAATTTACCACAGACACTAAACTGATGCCTGCCAGGTCCTTCATCTTCTCAGGCAGCAGCAAAGGGGAACACCAAAGTGCATTGCTTATTGATTTGAAATCAATTAATTATTAATAAGTACTAGGTTTACATGGTGACAGTCAAGGCTTATTTTCAGACATGTTCTAAAAGAGGGACTGAATATGATCTGTGGAGTTCCCTGACACAAGAGAATAGAACTATTACCAAGTGTATCAATGGATAACAGCTCCTCTCAAGCATATTTATAATACTTGATAACACCTCCAGACTTAGGACATGATGGGCCATTTAAAGTGGTGATTTGAAAGAAATCCAAGAGAAAAATATGCTTTTCATTTTTAAGATTATTTCAAGCATGTTATTTTTAACTTGCTTGAATCCAACCTGCAACTTAGGACAAATCAAGGCACTGGAAGTGTCACATGTAATTTTAAGAAACAGAAGTTCTTTCATAAAACTGAGTGATTGCTCAGGTTCTTTCCTCTGGAATTGTCTCTCATGTAGCAGAGTGTGTTCACTTTTGGACTGCCTGTCTGAATACTTACTATTCATTAAAAAGCAGAAAGTACACGATGATAAAAAATTTTTTGTTTTTTTCCTAACTTGAATATTCTGTTTTTTCTTATGCAGGATGATGCTTCCCAGGAGAATAATATGCAAGCTGAAGTAACAGGTAAACTGAAGCAGCACTTTAATAACACCATACCCAAGCAAAATAACACATCTGCTGGGGTTTCTGTCATCATGGTAAGAGAAATGAACATTTTTATACATTGATAGTATACTCTGCATATTTTCCTGACAGTGCTCTATGAGCACGTGTGGTGCAAGAATAGCAAACCCAAAACTAGAAGAGTCTCTTAATTCTAGTCTTTATTGATGAATAATGTGGATTGTCTCATCATTGCTTGAGACCAACCAAGTCTATCACAGTGTGCTGCCCAAGAGATAAAAATGAGCTTTCAAACAGAAACATGTGAACACTAAGAAGGTGTATGTTAAAATGAAGTTTATTAACAATTTGAAATCTTCATTCTAAAAACTGAGAGTTTTTTTATCATGCTGCCCACCTAGTTAACTAGGGTCTACCTCTGTGCCTGACCAAGTATTGCTTCATCTTGAGCACAGTGTTGTTCAACTATCTGTGCCAGGAAACCAGGCTCCCTTCCAGAAACTTCCTTTCTTCCTGATCTTACCGGGGCCTGTCCCTGTCTGATGCAAAGATGGACACTGCACAAAAAATGTATCTTCAGTAACTCAAAGAAATTAAAACCATCCATGGCAATGTAACAGGGACTTCCAGCCTTACCCTCCCATTAGTATTAATTACTTTCAAAGACCAGACCATTTATGTTAACAAGAAGAATTGCTTTAATCATCTGAGAACCAGTAAATTTAAATAAAATGTTTCTGCCTACATCCCTGTCTTTGCAAATACATTTATGTGAGTTAAAAAGGCGAATGATTTAAATGTAGGAAAAGTGATGACATAAAAGTAAGGCAGGAAATGGATTTCAGGTTCATGCTCTTGTCTACATTTCATTTGACAGTTTGACTTGACAGTTTGAGAGGGACTTCAGAGCTTCATTCTTTATACTGTTGAGACTTATGGATAAGCCTGAAGCTGAAAACTGGTATAAAATGCACTATATGTAATAAGAGCAATTTTAATTCTAACTCTCAGCCCCTCTCCAACTTGCATGCCACTTAAGCCTGTCTCAGATCTCTGACACAGCATAGCTTTGGCTTCCTACTGGTGTGAATTTTTTCTGTTAGCTACTGACACTCCTTCAGCCAGGAAAGTTCACCTCATTTTACCTTTTCCTGCTTTATTTCCTTCTAACAGGAATGGAAGGGTGTAAATGCATAATTATTAATTGCTGAATGCAGCTCCCAGTTAATGCTGAAAAGTAAAATCTTGTTCAAAACACTGTGATCTAATGAGGGTTAAGCCCCCAATTTGTTATTCTTGCCCTGGTTTACCTTGAGCATTGAAATTTAGTTACCTTTGTGTTCAGAAGTTCTTCACTTGCTCCAGCACTCATTGCTTACCAACATTCAGCTTCAGACAAGCACACTTTGTAACTCTCATGTATTGCAGTGCATTGCTCACTCAGTCCACCTGCACATTCACTGGAGCCCCTTTAGCATCACCTCATTCCAACACTGTCACCTGGCCCATGCAGATAATACCATCCTGTGGCAGATAAGTAAAACTGCACATCCCCAGTTCAGTGTCCTTGCACAGGAGGCTCCTGCTGCCCCCAAAAGCATGTTGCTCTTAATTCATGACTGATTTTTTTTTTGGTCAATTAAGAAATGTTTTGTAAATCTAAATTTGTTGCAATTGTGTTAGTTCTGCTTAAAGTAAGTCTAGTTTCTGTCCCTTGCTTTCTTCCTTTTTTTCCTCCTTTCCCAATGCCTGCATTGCTTTCCTCTGAGTAGGTCCAAGGCAATGGTACGTACTAACGGCGATGCTTTGTTCTGCTGCAGAAAAAGTACATAGTCTCCATTTGTGACAAGAAAGGAGAAATAATTAAGCCAGTCTGAAGTGGAAAAAGCTGTATAGCCACACCAAACCAGCAAAGGAATACCTTTTAAACACTTAGGAAAAAATAGTTCTGTCTTGAGTGAGGAATATCTGAAATAGGCTAAGCAAACACCAATACAACAATTTTTTACTTCCTCAGACATGTCTTGGTTTATTCTCCTGGCAGTCATCTTGTGCATGTCTATATCTCACTGTATCTAAAAACATCTAGGAAAAAATGAGAACCCTTTGAAGACAGAAGCACAGAACTAAACCACTGAACTAAATATTGTTTCTGTTCAGAACTGACACTTCTTTTAGAGCCAGACAAGTGATAATCAGTCCTATATAAATAAAAAAAATTCTTGCTTAGCAACAGTAAAATTAAAAAAGAAAACCCTAAACTGCATTACATGGAACTGTATTGCTGCTATGAGGACAGAACAGGAGAAAATCACTGTCAGCATGAACTGAAAGCATGTCCTTTCCCTTTTCAATAACTTTACCTGCCACTGAAATAGCAGAAACCCCTATTTACAACTTTTTCCAGCAAGAAAAAAGGCAATGCAATGGTGTCTTGATAATGACAAAACTCCTTTAATCTTAGATCACTAATCTCAAAAGCTCAGACCCAATTCAGCTGCTCCTTTCCTTGCATGCTCCCTTTACAGTGTTGATTGTCACTAGCAGAAACTCAGTTGTGGACTATGGAATTTTCTCCTTGTACCTCTCTATGCAGGGAGGCTAGTGATGTAAATTGAGTTAAAAAAAAACCAACAAAACACTAACAAAAAAAGGAGGGTAAATACCTTGTATCTGCTGTCCTTAATGACTTTGATACAATAAACACATCTGGGAAAAAATGAACCATGCTAAATTTGACTTGTGTCAGAAAATTATTTCAGTATTAAATACCTCAGTGAGTAGTGTATTAGTCAAACCCAACTAAAAACATATAAATCTTCATATTAGTAAAGCAAGTCCAATCAAAAGAATAAATTTTTGAGGAAAAGGCAGAGCACCTGACCTTTACAATTAGCACATACCCTTGAGAGCATGGAAGTTGTTGTCTTCGGCAGATGTACCACATACTCCAGATAATTGACCTATTCACTACAGAATTTTCAGTTTTCATTCCAACCTGTTGCTCCCTTCTCCTGTAAGCTCATTTTTAAGTACAGAATTCAGAAATTATGGCTTTTTGCATCCATGAGAGGTAGTTTTCCTACTCTGACCACTAAGCAGAAAAGCAGGCCCTATTCTTGAAAAAAGAAAAAAAATGTTTAGGTTTCCACTGGTCACCTTCCCTAGGGGCTCCCCTTCTGTACCTTGTGGGTTGTTACAGGAATTGTAGCACTGAGTTCTCAGTAAGCATGAACTGATTCCTTGTGTCTGCAAAAACACAGGTACATAAATTTTGCTAATAGTTACTATGACAAGTTCCTTCTCTATCACAATCACTCATACCATCTTTTTTTCCACATCAGACTTGCAAGACAAAAATTTTAAACCTGCAACATCATGGCAAGCATACATTTGGAAGAGAAGCTTTCCTTACATTTCCTAAAGTCAGCATCACAAAAATTATACAATTCATTATATAAAAGATTTCTAATGTTATTTCTCCTTTTTTATCCTGGCTGTATTGCATGCACTTTATGTCTTGTAGATTGTTTTAACCCTTAAGACAGGGCTGTATTTAAGTGTTGTTTCACATTTTGCCTTGGGTTTGTTTTGTTTGTTTGTAGAACACAGCTCTAGATAAAGAGAGTCAGATTTTCTGCAGCAAGCGCTGTCAGGACTCTGGTAGAGCTGGAATGGAGAAAATTTCTGCAATTGGTGCTGCAGCTGCTGATCCTCGTGTGGCTGGGTCTGAGCCCCTCCTCCCTGCTGCTCCTGAGCCACTCCGGTCCCCCACGCTGCCTTCTCCTGGGCTTGCTGGGGATCAGCCTGGTGCTTAGGACTGGGGAAAACAAATCCACCTGAAGCTCCACACTCTGGCCAGTTTTCTTCATTTCCCATGACTGTTTTCAGTTTGTGTGCACCTCTCATGGCAAGCCCCAGCCAGGTCTGATCCTCTCTCTCACAGGGGGTGAACATCTTGGGAACAGCAGTAGGGGAAAGACTCCGGCAATGTTAGGTGACTTTTTAAGTTCTCTGTGTCAGTAATTAACTCCATTTCACACAGTCTTGGGCTCTAAATAGATTAACTTATGGTGTAGCTAACCATATTTTTATATGAGCAGTGAGGTGGAACAGTTACCTGGCCTCATGTCCACCAGCAGGCCCTGTTCTGTTCTTCTGATGGGAATTTTCAGAAAAGTGGGAGAGGCAGACAAGGGAAGAAAACTTCTATTTGCCTTCTATTCCAATGCCTCTATTTTTAGCCAAGTTTCTACTAAACTTGAAGAGGCAAATTTTCACGAAGAATTTTTTAGTGGACTAACTGTAAAATATCATGAGACAAACATTTGGAGATGGAGAGGGAAGGATGGCTGTTTTCCATCGTTTATTATCCGACTTGCAGGCAGGGTAGTGTTTAGATAATATTAATTTAAATAAAGTAACTTGGGATGTAAACATGAGCAATGGATGTTTATTTGTTACGAAGACTGGAGTGAAGGAAGCCTTTTTGCTTTAGCCATTTTCTATCCTAACCACAAGTGTCCCATCCACACCTTTCTCCAGGGTCAGACTACCTGTTAGATAAAAAAATAAAATAAAATTACTTTGGGCCTGTGAAGAGAAAGCCTGCTGCATGTTATCCAAATTATGATGAGCTGAGCAGCTCCTCATTCTAGGACAAGCTTATAGAGGAGCTGCCATCAATAGCCATCAGAGGTTTGTCAGTGCTATCCCCCTATTCACCTGGTGCAGGCACTGGAAACCAAATCACAGGATTGGGAAGCAGCTCTCCTTAATCTGCAGTCACAAAACAGACAAGGTTTTCTCTTTACCACAATGCTTAGTTCAATAGAATATGTATTCAGCTTAATCCTTTTCCTTTGCTCGTTCTTATGAATTGGTCATAGTTCATTTTTTCTCTTAGCTATACTTTCTACTAGAATTGTAAAAGAAAGACCTGCAATAAACTTTCTTCATTAAAAAAAAAAAACCAGAACACAAAAAGTCATTCCTTTCTTTGAGAGCTCATTTATTTTGTCAGTGACACTTGTCTTATTCCCCCTGGAGAGACTGAACAATTAGATGCCTTCTAAAACAATTTAACAGAATTAATTTGAGGGATTCCCATAAAGTTCATTGTTTTAAAGTTCACTGCTTCCTGTGAAAGCCATGATTAAACATGGTTGCTTTACCTTTTGAAGAGCATTTAACGATCAGAAAGCGCCAAGTGATAACTTAAGGCCATGGCAACTGAAAGATGTGCAACATCTTGGCAAGAAAATGGTATTAAAGTTAGGAAAACAAGGCATGTCTTAAACTATGATAAAAAGGTTGGGCTACAGCCAATCCTTGCTAATTAACTTAGTTGTGGGTTCCCTGGAGTAAGTTCAATATATTTGAAGAGTATGGACATAGCCTTTCTGTAAAATAATTTGGTTTTTGGTACAGTGCAAAAAGGTGAAGCTATCACTCCAACCTTAATCAGAAGAGAAACTTCTGATTCAGATTCTGGTAAGAGTCTGTAGTTGGCTGCCTGTGTGGTTGGCAATTTCTGCAACAAGTCTCAGACTCCGCCAAAGAAAGGATGTGGAATTTCAGGTGGAGCAGGCTAACCAGCCCCCTCAGCAAAGTCAGAGAGCCTCCAAAAGAGCAGAACAGAGAGATCAGCAGAGCGGGAGCAACAAGCAAATAATGAATGCTGGGTTCTGTTTTTCCTAAGAGGATGGATTCAACTATGAAGAAAAAAACTGCCACGGATTGGTAAGGATTTCCAACAAGTTGTGTTGCACAAATAATTACGTATCTATAACATAAGGGATCATCACTTGCCTGGTCAACAGCTGCCAGTTCTAAACCACTACCTTGTTTCATGGAAGAAGAAATACCCTGAATTCACATCCCTAAGTTCATGACTCATCAACATCTAAACAGTGGTAGACAAGTATTTTGATTCACAGAGCAGAGGCAGGTTCCAAAATGCCTATTTAAAAACAGTGATGACAGCTGGAAAATAATAATCATATGGCCAACAATCAGATAAAAACAGGATAGCCAGGAAAGCCCCCAACTCTTTGTGTAACCTTAGCAAAATTATAGAACTACTCCATGCCTTAAAATACTTCCACATAAGTTCAGTCTGTGCATAGGTGCAGGAAATATCACACTTTAACATAAAAATAAAATAAAGATGCATTGGTTAACACAAAACACTGAATGAAGGTCCTTAAATATCACATTTGGTTTTGTACCTGCTGCATTTTCATTTAGTCCTTCTCTTGTAGAACCACGAGTTGCTGCTGGAAGAAGGCAAAAATAGTTCTGGTTCACAATTTTTTTCCCTGTTATAAAGGGAAAGAAACTATAATAGAAATTTACAACAAGTTACGCATTTTTTAAAAAGAACTGTTACAAACACTCCATAGTGACAGCTCTACTGCTACCATGCCTACATTAAAAAAATAATTATTAAAAAGAATCTTTTTAAATATCCTAATCTTTATAGGTCCTTTGACAGTGAGTAGTTGTTCACAAATGCCCAATGAGCCATTCCTGCGGTTTTAGATTTAAAGTCCCAGGACTGAATCCTCTCCTGCCATAAATCAGCCCAACACTACGTCCACTGATTGATTCCCATCAATATTTACCCATACAATTACCCCCTCTGGAACAAAAAAATTATTTAAAATAATTCTCAAAATACATTAATGAAGATGCTGTTTTGTGGCATTAGTTTAATCAAGTCACTCATTCTTAGTGGCTAATTGTGAAGAATATTTACACAGGTCAGTAAATCCCCATTTAACCCTGGTTTTCAAATCTTTCTTCCTCCCACTAGTCACTGGTCTAATTATTATAGCTTGATATAGCTAATTAACTGATACTGATTTCTTCACTTTTACATAAATGTATGTATTTATCAATCAATCAATCAATCATCTTCAGTTTTATCAGTTTTTAATTGGGAAGCTATATTTTGCGTTTACTCATTCTTTCTTTCAAGCTACATCCAAACAGCAATTGGAAAGCACCAGAAATGCACGAAACTAGCAACCAATGCAAAATGCTCACTAAGTAAAACTGATGGTTTTAAGATGACAAAAAAGACAAGCAAATCAAACCCTCCTACTTGCAGCCAGCTGCAATGTCTAAAGCACAGAAATAGGTATTAGGTTGAGCTTTTCTGTCAGGGAATTCACTCTAGCAAGAATTTTGTTTTCTTTTTAAACTAAATTAGCATTACAAAAAAAAAAATACAAGGGCAGGGAGTGGTAGCTTCCTATCCACTAGGAAGCTGTTGCTTCTGTTCTTGATTTCATTTTTTTTATTTCAAAGAGAATTTGAATTTTAAGTGCCTTTGTTTCCTTTGGAAAGAGGAAGCCAAGAGAGTTAATTGTGCAAGGTGCAGGTTTCAAAGTACCAAAAACTGTTCCCTCCTCCCCAAAATAATAGGTGAGATAATTGCCAATTAATAGGAAATACTGCAGTCTAGAGCATTTAAATGCTGAATGTTTAAACACTGCTTGAATTACACTACATGTTTTGTTTCAAATGGTCAGATTTTTGTTTTTGCAGCTACAGAGGCTTGAAAAAAGCACCCCTTGCACACAGGATAAGCAAGGCAAAAAGCAAAATGGGAGAGCCAGGTACAAAGTAATTTCTGTTACTGGACATTGATATTACTGATAGCACCAAAGTCACCAACAACCAGACTGAGCTGTGCCTACAACATTCTGCAGCTCAGAGCTCACACAGCAGCAAGAAAAATACTAGAATAACTTGAAGAAAAAAAATAAAATAATCAGTTACCATTTCTCAACTGTTGTCCATTTAGCAAACAGCAAGTACCACATTTTAGGAACCCTTTTTTCTGTTCCCACACAATGCAACATCATTTCCAAAGCACACACCACAATCCAGGGGCAAAGTTGTGCGCAATTTCAGATTTTACTAAATGCACACATCTCTTTGGTTTCAAGACTACACTTTCCACTATTATCTCAATGAATTCACAAAAAAAAAAAAAAGTATTGTATTTCCTACAATATCTAAATAGTTCTGAAATTTTTTACATTTCTTTTCTAACAATATGCTTCTTGATAATAAGTCTCAACTGAATGTACACTATTTACATGCACAAGTAAGAATTTATTCTTTCAAACTTCGTATGTTTTAATCTTTTTTTACCTCATGACAATGGCTGTATTTGAAGAAGGAACTTTAGGTTAAACATAGTTGAATTTCAGTACATATAAGCAAAATCTAAAATAATTTCTTACTTTTTTTTTTTGTCCAGAGCTTTTGAAGAGCAGCTTTGAATTGTGATGCATCATTAACTGCATTAGCTTACTGAAGATCTTAGGTTGGTTCTGCATAAAAGTACACTATTTTTGATTTCATGTAATGATGTATCATATGGTAAATCCATGCAAGTGACACATTTCAAGTGTTACACAAACATCCTAACCCTGTATGAGAGAGGTCTTACTGGTCTAGAGCAGCACTCTCAGAATGGCCCATCTCTGGTTCTATTTGATGAAGATAAACCCAGTGTCTCAAAAACAATATAGTGATCTGTTATTCTCCTTGAATTACTTCTGGGAGAAAGAAAAAGGAAGTATGCCATACCACAAGCACACTGAAATCTCTATGAATATGAAATTTAGGACAAAGTGAAAAAACTACAATCTAGTCACCTTACCTAGGCCATTCTTATTCAATACAACTAACAACATTCATGTCCTGACTAAAGCTGCAAAAAAATTCACTTCCCATTACCTTGGTATCAGATCAGCTGTTTGGGATGTTTACCAGGAACAAAGTGCTGCAGAGAAGTGAAGGACTACCAAGAGGATGTCAGGGCAAAAAACAGTAACAGATACATACACAGCTTGCCTTCAGGTGTAGAGACAGACAGCACAACAGAGCCAAGAGCTGCAGAAATATTCTGCAGTCTGAGCATTCGTTTACCTCTGCCTGCAGTAGCACCATAAAACAAACTGCCTTCAGAGAAACCCCCACTCTGACCACCCCATCTCCTCTTGCCAGATCCTGTAGCATTTCTATCAGCAATTTGCTGACAGAAAATACAAGGGATTTCAAGATACATTTGCCAAGTACTACACAACCCAACCAAGCAGCACTGCTGCAGAGCACTTCCCATAACCACAGATGGCAGCAGCTCTGTTTGAACTCACCAATGTAAAAGAAAGGCCAGACTTTCACATAAAAAATGTTCTTCATAAATGCTCCCTCTGCAAAAATGCACTGGAGGAGAGAGGTCTGTCTCTCTCTTGAGGAATATTCTGCCAATACCAGCCAAATGAGGCCCAGCTGCAGGTTAATCCCTGGCACCTGTTGATATCTTTCAGGTGATCCATGTGACAGAGGTGCTGCCCTGAAGAGAGGAACAACTGCCCAAGCAGCTGGAAATTTAACCTGTTTTCCATCTCCTCACTAACAACATGAGGTGGGAACTACTTCACCCAAAGCTGAGGTCCCAACTGCACACCTGGGCCCCAGGGTGGTGTCCAATGTATTTGGGTTCACCTGTGGAAGGAGGGGATGTCCTACTCACCAGAGAAGTCCAGAACAGAGGTGTCTTCACAGGCCTGCTCATGGAGGAGAAGGTGAAGATGTCCTTTCCCTCAGAAAGGCTGCAGCACTCCAGAGGCAAAACACCACAATGCAGCAGCTGCTGCTTCCCAAGGAGGGTTAGATGCAACTCAGGACAGCACACACAGGTACAGCTGTGCTCCCAGTTTGGGAAAGCATTTCCTGATCCAATAGAGCCCTTTCAAAAACAAGCAACCTACCAAATCAACTCCCTGTGAAATATTTTGGCTCCAAGATCAGAAGCTATTATTTCTATCAATAATGAAGTGTTTCCTCATAAAGAGAAGACTTTCAGGATTTCCATTTAGCAAAATATACTTTTTTCTTGTTTGTTTTCCCTCCACCCAGTCTAGGAAAAACCACCCCTGGTTTGAGACA